GTTGTTTATTTTTTTCTGTTTTATTTTTATAGCTTACGAATTCGTTGCAGCATGCGAAATTTCCTTCTGGGAAATTTCAGGATTTCACCTGGAAATTTTAATATGTAGATTCGTGAGAAACGGAAACGAAAGGTAATATTCGTATTTATGAAAAATTGCAGATAATGGAACTATGGTTTAAGAAAGTTATGCAGATTTAAATATATTTCGATTTTTTTTTTTTTTTCATTCAAGGAAAGTCCTGAAATTTCGTGGCGATACTTATGTACTTACATACGTTGGACGCCCTCTATATTACGAATAACAGAAAACAGAATTCTAGAGAAAGAAACGTAGAATGTGAATCTGAAAAAAAATTAAGAAAACTCGTAAATCTAAAAAAATAAATAAGAATAGTGACAATATGAAATGCGATTCTAAATGAAAATCACTAAGAATAGAGTTGTTTGGGAATTGTCAAAACAACTTTAAGTCCGGTCTAGAAAATTGGTAAGAAGTGTAACACTTCACTCGTAACGTAGATAAAAAGTGTACATATTTTCATTGTAAATACATCAGGAAGTGACACACATAAGTAAAAGCAATATTTTCAAAGATAAAGATCATACACAGCAGATGTGTCGTGTTAAATTAGCAAGTAGAAACAAAAAGTGTAATAATGTGGACAGAGATTAGAGTAACCTCGTTATCTACTGTCAAAGGTAGCAGTATCTCTCGACCGAACATTCTTTTAGATAAGAACTTATCCAAACAGGTGATTAACCTGTAGATCACGATCACAGATTTACACACGGTAGCAAACGTTGAACTTTTCGACAGGAAGAATAAAAATTCGTTTCCCACGGAGACATTTTCCTTTAGGCTTCGTTATTTCAGAATTCTTTCTTCTCCGGCGCACCCTACCGTACGAACAATGTAACGTTTCGTCGGGGCGAGTTTCCACTGAAAAGAAGCGAAAGCCGCGTGAATCAAAGCACGCCTCGCGGAAAGATACAGGGGTTGTTTAAGGACGCTAGACTTTGAAGGTGGCCCAAAGTATTCTCGTGACACTCGACCCAATTTTCGTTCTATGTCGTGTAATTACTAAGCGAATTAGCGTGCATTCGTCCGTTTCAGAGACAAGAGGCCTGCGACTCGACCAGAATGGGGATCTTCCATCGGCTCGAAAACAAACGAGTCTACTTCAACGATGAAAACGTTTTTTATTTATACTTCTTCATGTCCGATTTTGAGTCATTCGCAAATTGATCTCTCGACGAGTGATTACTTTGAGTGTTGAAACATTCGAAGTATTTTTCGCGTTGATACTAAGTTAGTGACTTTGGGGAATTTAAGAGTAAGGTTCGTTTTCATTTCTCCCTGAAAAATCTGTTTATCTCAGGTGTGATTACTTTGAGTGTTGAAACATTCGAAGTATTTTTCGCGTTGATTCTAAGTTAGTGTTTTTGGGGAATTTGAAAGTAAGGTTCGTTTCCATTTCTCCCTGAAAAATCTATTTCAGATTATACGAGCTAATATTTTCACGAAATATCGAAGAACTTAAATCGACAGGAAAATTGAAAACTGCTCCGTAAATATGATAACACGTTGAAGTATCTCTAGTGACCTTCTTACTCAACTTCTGATAACTTCACCAAGCTATACTTACCATGAAAGTGTAATGCAGTGAAATTAATAAACAGTAAGGAAAAAAGGCATAGTCGAAGCAATTCTTCATTTTGTTGCAACGTTAAGCTACATTTTCATCAAAAACGAATAAAATTTGTTACTAACTTTTTGTGCTACTTGCAAATAGGGCAATATAAACGATAGTAGAAAATTAGTTCGATTCATTGGTAACTCTAACCTTGTTTATTTAACACTGTCAAATATCAAAAATAAAAACAAATTATTTGGATGTTAATGAATTAAACAGCGCCATCTATTGATGTAGTAATTTGATATTTAAAATTTCTACTTACAATCTTTCGTTAAAACTCTCTTGCAAAATAGTGATTACCATCTTGATAAAAATTAATCTGTGGCTGTTAAGGATCAAGGCGCAACTTTTTTCTTCGTGAAAACTTGAATTTCGTTTTTATTTCTTTATCATTGCAAAAATTATGGAAGAGTTAATTCTAAGTTGACATCGAACAACCCTGAACGAATTATTACCTTAACGATTTTACCTCACTGTATAGTTTCCACAAACTATACAACTCGAAGCGTTCGCCCATTTTCAATGCTTACATAATCCCGATTACAAGCGTTAAATCAATGATAAACGAGAAAGTATTCGAAACACTTTATCTAAATGGAAAGAAACACCGGGCCGATGTTAATCGCGTTACACGCGGTGCATGAAATTAGAAATTTGTTCGAGCGTCTATTCGCCGGCCATCTTATCGACGATCCGTATCGTCACGCGCAGTTGAATTTTCGATGCGCACTGATTTCGCGAATCTCGTTGAGCCGTTTCGATAGAATCGAAACTCGATCGTGTTCTCTGTTCTCCGGAAAAGGGGGGCAACAGCTTCGACGGGAGAGAAGTGATAAAAGAAAAAAAAAAGAAAACATTGAAACAAAGAAAGAAGGTGGAAGAGAGTAAGGAAGAGGAATGAAGAACGAACGGGGTCGTTCAAAGACGCATCGATGTTCCCTGTGTGCTCTTCGTGTTGTCGCCGCGGTATAAAATACCGGCTGAAAAAGGAACGCTGAATGGCCGATGCCCGACTAAAAACCGGACTTGCTCTCGTTACGCGATGCCAAAGAAACGAAGCAGTTGGCCGCGGCGCGGTGCAGGTGGGTTGCCAGATGGCCGAGAAGGAAACAGTGAATGAAGGAAGAAACGAAAAGAAACGTTTAGACGCCGTTCGGTGCGACAAGACAAATGCGGCCGCGCGAAACGAATACCAATTTCGACTTCCGGCCGGCGCGATTCGTCCATTTCTTTCCGGCTTGTCTAACACACACAGTACAGTTCCAGGTGTGTGACGTTTAATTTATGAATGATATAGAGGTGAGCACCGTGGGGAACTGTGCTTTGGAAGGTAGCTTTTCCGAGCTGTTTCGCTTGTTGCAGGAAACGTCAGGGAAGAATTGATTTTGCACAGATTAAAAAGTCGATTCTTTTCTTAATTTTTTAATGTTAGTTTGATCTTTTTGTAGTAATAATCATCTAGAAGTTGGAAATATAATTAAAGTACGCTTTTATATGCTCGATTTTGTCGGTAATTATTTATAAATAATTTTTTATCATATTCCGTTATTTGTGATTATAGCTTGGTTTTTCGTTTTGCATAATTTATTTCTAATTGTAAAATAAAAAATATATGGAAAAGAGTGGTTCCGACCGGGATCGAACCGGCGACCTTCTGCGTGTAAAGCAGACGTGATAACCGCTACACTACGGAACCTGATGCTAAGTGTTTTATAATAAAGCTAATTATATGGCATTATTTTCTTTAAATATACTTGTTTTGTATTATTTAATATGTTTATGAAGTAAAATACATGCTGTAATTTCAAATAAAAATTATAAAATATTAAAAAATGTAGTGAATAGTTTGAAACATGTATGAAATTCTTGATCTGTTGTACATTGAGTTATGTCGATCGTCACCAGATGGCAGCATGTTATTGGTAGAGGGTAAAGTTGCTTTATTGTAGTGTTATCAATCATTGTCACAATTTTAAAACTATAAAAAATGTTTTTTGCTCAATATAATAATAATTTATATGTTCAAATATTTATATAAATGTTTATACAGCAATGTTATAAAACATGATGGTATGTAACCTCATCGATACTATTCTTTCGTTATTACATGTATATTCCTTAGTTTCGTAAAAATTGTCCTAAATTCTATAAAGAATCTTCCAGATAACCTTGAAACCTTGTGCAAATTAAAAATATTACAATTAAAATGCAAACAAAAAAATAGCAAACCAAATACCAACGATACGCGAGAAATCATATCAAACGATAAGTCAACGTGTATGCACACATACGCGCATACAATCAGTGTACTAGGAAGTCAATTTCCTACCTTGGCATACGTACGTAATTACCACGTCCTTATTTCAACCCACGACCACTGATAAGATGTCGACTACTACTTAGTTATCAAAATATAGTGGCCACACTTCCTTCCAGTTACTCTCTTGCATTGTAAGAAAGTCAAACAAAAGGTACCTAAGTGTAAGGGATTAAAACTTTGTAAATAAAATACGCCATAAATACGGTTAATTATAGATTTTTATTATTGGTATAAATGGTATAAAGTCGAATACAATTAACAAAATGATGTTCCGGATGACGGAGCAGACACATTTTGCATAAAACAAATTTCATCTCTTCCTTTACCATATTAATTAATGGAAAATAAAAGTGCAACATTAGTATACATATCAGAAAATATTTTCCTGTCAAATGAATGTATTTGTATATTATGTATGGCGGGCAATGCGCTCCTGTTGCATCCGGGTTTGTACTTAAAAATAAATACTATTATCTACTAAGAAAAAACATCTTCCTTTTTTTTTACATTTAAAAAGGCACGATAACGACTAGGTAGAAATAAATGGTACGCCAAAAATAGTTCGGTCTCGTTGAAAAGATTATTCGTGCTTCTTATTTAATAAGGTAGTAACTCTGATAGAATGGACAAATAAGTTTTGTACGAAGTGCAAGTATATAAATGCAATAATCGTTTCGCCATTAAACTCTTCGGTAAGTTTGATTTAAACATTATATTACAGAATATTTTCTCATATGTTGTACATAACTCTAGAAATATGAAGTACTGACATGGTGTCGTGAATTTTCTTTTCAATCTCTTCTTTATTGTTTTCTTAAGCAAAATATATCATTCGAGACATTATACGAATTCTTTGTGTTAATGAAACTCTGGAGACTCGGTGGTCTCTAAACGAGGCTTCCTGAAGTGCTTTTCTTTACTTTTTCAAGCATTTTTAAAACGTGCTGTTAGAATTCTTAAGATTACTTTGTGGACTTATTTTCACATAATTCTGCAGTACTCGTCTCCATGGGGGTCGCCCTAGAACACAGAAAGAAATCATATTTATATAGAAAAGATAGTAAACTATCAGTATTTATATCTAATGAACCCTATTAGCATGTC